TTTTTTATTCACCGTTCCTTAATTATTTCCAATATCATCACTTCATATTCAATTATTCCCTTTTTCTTCTACACCCCTTCATCACTTCATGAAAAATTTTGAAGAACATAATTGCAAGCATTAACTAATAATGTTAACAAATATTATATCATTATTCAAGCTTACTTTACAAATAACAACAGCAACCAGAGAGATTATATACCCAAACACTTAAACAACAAGTGCAATCTTACAGATTACATACCCAAACACTTAAACAATAAGAGCAACTAGAAAGATTACATACCCAAACATTTAAACAACAAGAGCAGTCTTACAGATTACATACCCAAATATTTAAACAACAAGAGCAGTCTTACAGATTACAGACCCAAACATTTAAACAACAAGAGCAGTCTTACAGATTACATACCCAAACATTTAAACAACAAGAGCAGTCTTACAGATTACATACCCAAACATTTAAACAACAAGAGCAGTCTTACAGATTACATACCCAAACATTTAAACAACAAGAGCAGTCTTACAGATTACATACTCTCGCCCCGCTCCTCCTTTTCGAGATTGCACGAATTTATATCGGATAACGTCAAATTTCACTTTCGAAAACTCTAAAAATTCTTCTCAGATCCAGAATGTTCAACGATCCTGATCGTATTTTGTGGTGAGATGAGGTGTCTAAACCCTAATGTGCCTATGAAATTTGGTACAAATCTACTTAAACTTTCTACAGTTATTAACCCAAAACCGCGAAAATGCCGAATCTCCCCACTATAAAAAATTTCAAAGTGATCTAGAATCCAGATTCGGACCAAAGTTGAAGAGAACTGTCCCATACTGACTTCCCATCTTGTATAAAATTTTTGTGTACGTCAGTCTATTAGACTTTGAGATACGCGCGCGGAAACACAAACAGACATACACACACACACACACTTGGACCCGATTGCAATATCCTCTCCGGGGACGAGGGTAATAATATTCCAAATATTTTTATGATTCAGCAGAAATATTTTGAATTCTAATAGAAAGATGTTCCTGTTAATTGGATTATAAAGGTATACCACCAGGTAATTTCAAAATACATAAACAATCACCAGATCTTTAACTACATACTACAGCGTAAAGGACATTGCTATAAAATCCATAATATGCGCTGTGTGATATTCAAGAAATTGTCGTATTTAAACATCTTGATCTTTAGAGTTGTTTCTCTATTTGCAGGCTCCAGAAAATAGCGTTGAAACTCTCGTCACAAAACGACACCCTGACGGACTCCAGAGCTCCAAATCTGCTTTACATTTCGGAGTTCTTCCTTCCCATTTGAAAAACAACGCTCTCAAGTTGCGTTGTACGGCAATAATCTCCCAAGCCTACTCGATGAGGAGCAAAGAAATTATAATTGGAAACACGGTTAGGCCTTCTGGTTTGTACACTGGTGAGTCATCTTATAGCTCATACCACCGCTTCAGACCACTGTACGTTAATAGTCGCAGTAAAGCATTATCAGAATGTACGTTATGCAGTGCATTATCTCAAAAATGTTGCCTTAGAAATACAATTAAACACAGATGCAATTGCTATTAGCGCAAACTGTCAGTTACAGGAGTGTGTGAATCCCTCAATTAGGATATCTAACAGACTCTGACTTTAACAACTCGCTGCGTCCATATAATAATATGTTAAACATTATTTTCTCAAATCCAGTATAGAAACATCACGTACTCCTTCATAATCTTATACTGTACATTTTTAGTAACGCATACTTACGTTTAATTTTTCAACTTTGTATAATTGCATGAAATCTATTATAAAACGTGTTTAATTTAGATGATTACTTAATGCCTGATTTTATCATAAATAATTCATTAATTCGGTCACAACGCTCTAAATTGAAATTAGCCAATGAATCTGAAAGAAATGGTGATTTCTCTATAGTAAAACCTGTTTCTTTCATGACGTGTTTAGTTTAAATTACAATAAATCAAGCTAAAAAAGAACAAATAAATCTTACTTTCCTGGGAAATGATGGCACATTGGCGAATTTGTTTCAAGACTATTTTAAAGTAACTCAGACTAATATAAGATATAATAATCAAATAAGTCGAGATGACACACATAAATATCCAACAGCTTGCTACAAAACTTGCCGAAAGTAACTCAGACTAATATAAGATATAATAATCAAATAAGTCGAGATGACACACATAAATATTCCAACAACTTGTTTGCTACAAAACTTGCCGAAAGTAACTGAGACGAATATAAGATATAATAATCAAATAAGTCGAGATGACACTCATAAATATTCCAACAACTTGTTTGTTACAAAACTTGCCAAAAGTAACTCAGACTAATATAAGATATAATAATCAAATAAGTCGAGATGACACACATAAATGTGTGAACACGGCATGACAAACTTATCAATGTACAAGAAAAACATTATCGATACACAAGCTCATTCTCTAAAAATTTTTTATATAAATTTAGCATATTTGATCAAAATGGTGTTCAACCTAGTTAAGATATAATACTACGATACATCTGATCAGGTAGTAATTGTCTTTTGACTGTAAATATATGTAGCAGTTTGATTTGTTTTTACTTAATCTAAATCATTTTAAATATATATATTGTTTTTCTTCTCGGGTATTTGTAACATGCACACAGTCATGAACTTATTTTTATTAAGTTGAATTGAAATGTCTTTAAACCAGTTTAAATAAAGCAAACAGATAACAGAAAGTGTCAGATACGTTAGACCTCCAAGAAATTCAAAAATGAAATTATTAAATACGCATTAACTTCTTAATTAGATACAAGAAGAAAAAAACATGCATTGGATTACACGTATTAATTTTTTTCTAGCGGTAGATGGCCCCACCATTAGCGGAGGACTGCCTAAGTATCAAGTTGGTGACCTTGTAGATGTAAGGTGTACATCGTCTAAATCACAGAGCCCAGCGAAACTGGCTTGGTTTATCAACGATAAGATGGTAAACGTTCCTCAGGTTGTTACCAACGTAGTTTAACTATTAGGGTTTGTTTGTTTTCAGCTTAACATAAACAGACATTTCCTAACTTACAATGAAACATACTATCAAGTGTTAATGTCATTACCAAATTTGAACACAGTAATAATTAGAAAGCATTTCTTTTAGTGAATCCCTAACCAAATAAAAATAGTAAGTAAACAGTGCCTCTTGTATGACATTCCTATAACAGAGTACATAGTTAACAGAGCATCTGGTATGACATTCCTATAACAGTGTACATAGTTAACAGAGCCTCTTGTATGACATTCCTATAACAGTGTACATAGTTAACAGAGCATCTGGTATGATACTCCTATAACAGTGTACATAGCTAACAGAGCCTATGGTATGACATTCCTATAACAGTGTACATAGTTAACAGAGCATATGGTATGATACTCCTATAACAATGTACATAGCTAACAGAGCCTCTGGTATGACATTCCTATAACAATGTACATAGTTAAAAGAGCCTGTGGTATGACATTCCTATAACAGTGTACATAGTTAACTAAGCATCTTGTATGACATTCCTATAACAGTGTACATAGTTAACAGAGCCTCTTGTATGACATTCCTATAACAGTGTACATAGTTAACAGAGCCTCTTGTATGACATTCCTACAACAGTGTACATAGTTAACAGAGCCTTTTGTTATTGTACTAGCTGTATGGAACTATTATTATTAAAAGAGAAAAAACATAACTCTGTTGTTATCTGTATTCTCTTAAAATCAGTATATTTTTGTGCTTTATGCTGGTTTTTGCCAGTTAATAAATCATAATATAAAAATAGAAAGTTTGACTTCCAGCTTTTCGATTGGAGCTCATAATAATTTAAAGAATTTGGTTCAGCAAATTTTAATAACACGGTTAGTTAGGCTAAAAGTCGTTAATTACTAATATTCAGGCAAGTCCCGATCTTACGGTGAATCAACCGCCGGTTGACGACAAAATGGGACTAAAGGCATCAGTGTTAGGGCTGAAGTTTACAGTGCAGGCTGAACACTTCCATAAAGGAGAGATGAGATTGAAATGTACGGCTACTTTATCTAAGGTCATCAACACCAGTAGTGAAGAAACCGTTATAGGAGCCAGCCATCTCAGTTCGGGACTCCATATTTTGGAAAATTCGGAGAAAGGTAAGTTAGAGAAAAACTATTAATACGCTTTTGATGTTTGGGATTATCGTTTGTTATTATCGGGTTTTATTCATAAAAAACATATTTCTACCGACAATATAATCCACTTTTTTTTACCATTAAACCATATGTATTGATAATTGGTAATGGGTATGATATTATATTATTGTATGATTAATTATAATTTCATATTTATTAACTGTTTCAATAGAACTTTCTAGTTAAGTTTTAGTTGAAACACTACTTAAAACAGCCGCATTTAATACAATGAGGCTTAACTTCGACTTCTTGACAAGCTTTTTTCAAAAAGACATTTAGTATAGGGAACGAATTCGAGTGTTCTTTTCTAAATCAAAGTCTTAAACAAGTTTCACCATCGAAGCTATATAATATAAAGTAATAAATTTGTTCAGAAATAACAACGAGTGAAATCATTTATTTTATCTTCCATGTTCAAACTGATAAAAGTGTGTGAGAAGAAGAAATCACTACATAAAACATTCGAACATTGTAATTGTTTTAGGGATAGATAAGACCCATTGTTTATCAATGTAATCGTACGTTTGTAAGGTGTGTATGTGTAGTTTCGTTTGAAAAGGCTTTGAAAGCAGTGTTTCAAATTTCAATGGACAAACTAAATGAATGTTCATTATGAAATGAGATAAAACTTGTGCGATTTATATCTTCTTGTATGTTAAAATCAATGTTTTGGTTTTGTATTCAAAAGGTTTCAAATCAAGGTTTGGACTTAAAAAGGTTTGTTCTTTTGCCAAGCGTGTGATTGTAATTAAAATTGTTACCTTTCAATATTTTTGTTATTAAAAAAATTTGAGACATAATAAGAATTTAAACAATTACTGAACTCTTCGTTTAAATCGAGAAAATATTTTGTTCTGTTTTTAAGTTGACATTAAATATACTGGGACTTGTACTTCGGTTAATTAGCGTTGAGAAAATTATTCCGTTTTTTGAAGACAGAAAATCACTATTAAATAAAGAACATTAAATAATTAGTTAAATCGAGAGAATTTGTTTTATATGATATTAAATATACCCGGCACTCATGTTTTGTTAATTAATGCTTTCAAAATTATCCCTGCTTTGGAAGATAAAATCAATACTAAATAAACAAACTTCGTTGTGTATTTCCTTGTTCGAATTTTATTTACTCAAACTGAAATCAAAATAGACGCTAAAACACTATTTGTAGTAAAATGTAACGACTTTTAACATTCTGTTATGTTTAAAATGAATACACGTAAATAAAAGTAGTCCGCGATATCGTCTCATCGTATTCATGATAACTTGAAAACTAATATCTATCGGCATTATCGAATCTTTCTCGCCTGTTAAACACTGGGGGTAAAGTTTGGTTCTTTGTAATTAAGCACAAAGCTACACAATGGGCTATCTGTGCTCTGCCCACCA